CACATTCCTCCTCATTCCCACAAAACCTGCTACACACACACACACACACACACACCAATCTCCTCACCGCTTATTCTTCCCTGTGTTTCCATACACCCACCATTCTCACATGCACATTACTCCTCGCACCCACCCCAACCCCACATTCCCCGTCCAACCATATCCCTCACCCACGCACCCCAACCCCACACCTTGCTCATCAACCCTGCCACCGTCCCTCGCCCACTTTCTCCTCCTCTACACCCCCCGCCACACTACTCCCGATGTAACCCCCCACTCCTCTTACCGTCGCGATCAGCGTCACTGACATTATCTTCTCGTTCTTCGACATCGGCCCCATCTTCTCCAGATTCTCCGCCGCCAGCTTCGGCGCGTCCGGGCTGCTCTTCACCTCCGGTGGGTACACCACGTACAACAGCGCTGGGATCACCAGCAGCGACACCAGTCCCGGCACCGACGCTGCCACCGCCCAATCCGTCCAGCTGATCGTCTGCCCGATCGCCCCCGTCGCCAGGTTCACGCTCAGCGGGTTCGCAGCCATCGCCGTCAAAAACATCGCCGACGTGATCACCGACGTCTGGAAGCACGTCAGCATCAGCCAAGATCCCAGCTTCCTCTCCGTCCCATCCCCGACCTTGCTCCCGCACGCCAGGCACAGCGCCTTCACCAGCGGCAGAAATATCCCCCCCGACCGAGCCGACACCGATGGAATCGCCGGCGACAGCAGCGCCTCCGCGAACACCAAACTGTACCCCAGCCCCAGCGTCGTCTTCCCGAACAGCTTCACGAACTGGTAAGCCACCCGGTTACCCAGCCCCGTCTTGATGAACCCCTTCGCGAAAAAGAACGCCAACGCGATCAGCCACGGGATGGGATCCCCGAACGCGCTGAATGCTGCCGCGAACGTCAGCGTCTTCGTCAACACCGATGCGCCCAGTCCCATCAGCGCCACCGCACCCAACGGCAATGGCTGCGTGATGATCCCCACCACCGTCGCCAAAAAAATCGACAGCAGCTGCCATGCGTTCTTCGTCACGCCCACGGGCGTCGGAATGAACCACACCAACACGCCCACCGCGATGGACGCTATCAGGGGCTTCATGGATGCGCCCATCCACGGCTCCTCCTTCTTGGGCGCAGGGGTGGCTGCGGGCACCACGCCCGCGCCCGCATCCGCTCGCACTCCCAACCTCGCCTCGCCATCGCTCTTCCGCAACGCCGGCAAGGCCGCGATGCCCTTCAGCAACCCATCGCCCACAAGGAACCCGCTCTCGGAGCTCGACGCTGCCAAACCCAGAGACCTGATTCCGCCCCTGCTCCGCAACCCAAAGGCGCCCCTCACACCCAAAGACCTGGCGGAGCAAGAAACACCTCTCGGCGCAACCCCACGAGGCGACGCGACGGGACTCAACCGGACGCCATTGGAAACTGCAGCAGCCATGCAAGCCATAGCTGCCGGTGGCCCCACAAACGGGCTCACAATCTCCTCCCCGGCCTACCAGCGTCTCAGATCCCCCCCCCTCGCTCGAGAGCTGCACCTGCGCAACCCCGATCCAGCGCATGAGCCAAAACGAAAAGAAGGTTGAATACCCCGGTAGTCTGGAATTTCAT